CTTATCCAAGTATTTTTGAAATTGTTATTCCCTAGTGTCTAACTCGCGATTTCAATATCACTAAAAAATTCTATGTAACTTGGTATAAATTAACAACTCAGCTCACTATAAACTACACTTTACCTTCCTAATCTAACCTAACTTCAAAACACGTAACTTAATGCAGTCACAAATGAGCAGAAAATCCAACCTGCCTTCACCACATGTCAAAAGAAATTTATCTAGTAGCCTGTTAGTCTGCTACTAGTGTACCTGTTGCTCGAATTTGAGCAATTGCGAAGTATTACAGGCGTTATTTTAAAAAGAATAACAGCCATCATTTCCGATGACCTTAAAAGAGTCGACTCAATGATTATGGAAAACTCACGATGTACATAACAGTTTTATATAATCAACATTTCTTGTAAATATCTTATCATATTTCAAAACCTGATCTTGTTTTTTAGTGTTTCTACAAATGTTTTCCACTCATAATAAAGCATTAGGTTGTCCATAATAACGATTATAAATTCTAAAAAAAATATTTCTTCTACTTGATGGTGTTCTTTGACTTTCCTATGTTTCCATCATTTGTACCACAGACTTTTAATGGCCTTAATTCAGTAAATATTTTTTGCTCAGAGAGATTTTTGCACCGTTATTTTCAGCTAAAACTGTAGTTATGTAACTTAATTTTAAATATATGTTCCCATTATCAAGTTCTCCTGCATAATTAGGCCTACCCATCGAAGTATATAACACAACTGGAATGCTAGGTACGCGTTCACGAAAGCGCGCCGTTGTGGCAACCTTCCCCCATCATCACGTGGGACCCAGCGGATTTTAGCGAATTCATCGAATAGTTCGCGAAGTTGTTAACTCGCTCCTAGCCTTCAACAACAAAGATTAAAGTATAATGTTTATATATTCGTAATCTGCATTAACCCTCCGAGTGTCCATAGTTTAGGCCTTAATGTCCGCCTATTTTAGGCGCATTTGCAAGGTTTTATTAAAACAGATCTGAAAATCTTAAAACAATGTTAATTCTACTGTTCTATATACCATTTTGTTTGGAAAATCATGGGCTTCAATATCATACATAAAACCTAAGGAAAATTTGTTTCAAAAAAATTTTTTTAGGTAAAAATAAAAATTATTTTGGAAAATTGAAAAAAAAATAAGTTCGCGCTCAATGAAATTGTATAAATTATAGGCCTATAAATATTTGAAAATAGCCACTTTGTTCTAAATTTTATGAGGATTACAAATATATAATAATATAAGGAAGTAGATTTGCAAATAAATAAGTTATGGGCAAAAAACAGATTTCAGTACATAGCGTTTAGCTAAGAATGCATAGCCTAACCATAGCTAGGAATCTGGCTGATAATTTACATCAATATCACTACCTACTTCTTCAGGATCATCAACCAGCTCTTCAAAATCACTTAAATCTTCTTATAATGCACCACGTATATCACTACTTTTGATTTTTAACACTAAAACAATGATAAACATAATAAAACACATCAGTCATCGGTCCGAGGTTAACTAACCTGTTTACAAATACGCACGTCAGCTGTCTGCTACAATTACGATCGGCTCAGAGAACATAAAGCGCTTAGAGACAGACCTCTGGAGAAAGCTTAGAATATAATGAAAAGAACGATACCAAACTCGATCCAGTTCAATCCAATTTTGTCAGTCATAGAGCCTTCGCCGTAAACAGTGTTCGTGAGTCGCTGCAGCGACGCATGACACTCGGAGGGTTAAATTCAGAATATAATGGTATACAAAAATTTTACTTTTGATTTGAAATAGAATTTTCATAGTTAAAAAGAGTCAACAATTTCTACATTGTGACATGAAAAAGTTAGTATGCAAGGAAGTATTTTATTTTTGGGCCAGAAGAAAACTTTAAGCGACAAAGTTGTAGGCCTAGTTGAAGAGATGATTTTTAACATGCAATCGAGCAATTTACAATTAGTTTGTTTGTAGTATAGTGATTAATAGCGCGACGAGGTTGATTTTATGTCGCACCAACCTCCTGAGTCCAGCAGCTCTTAATGTTTTTGCTACTCGATCATTGTAAAGCTAAATAAATTTTAACCTTTTTTAATAGTTGATATAAGTTAAAGAATACAACTATTCTATGGATGTGACCATATATTTAATTTAATTGCAGAAGATAAATATCAATACCGGTACTGGGCTGCCGCCCATGAATGAAACTATAGGGACACTATTTTACAAAACCGTTTGTTTCTCCAATGCTAAGAACATTAAGAATGAATGTAACAAAAAAAGTTAGGTGTAAGGCAGAGATTGAAGAAATTGGTTTTGTTTCACAACATGTAATGCAACCTTTGTACTATATTTAAGCACGATTGTGGACAGTAATAAAACATATTCTTAGAAGTACTGTTTAGTATGGTATTAGCCTATTAACCAAACCCTTTTCTCTTATGTGGGATGATATGAATTTTAAAACATATACAGAATAACAACGGCACTCAAAACACTTTTTTACTAATCGTGTCTTTGCAACATTATACAAATACTCCTATTGTCAAAGGAACACGACTAACAATTCGATTTGGAAATTTATTATTCAATTTTTGTTATTGCCTTTACGTTAAATACTTCCTAGGTTTAGTATTTATGACCTTATCAATTACTTGCTCTAACATTAAGATTTGAAATTTCTCATTAATTACCAAACAAAGCAGATAGTAAACGATCCCCTGTTACAACTAAACAAAGGGGAATTACTTACCAGTCCCTGTCCCTGTATATAGTCTACATTTTATATTTTAATTTACGGTAACATTGTATGTAATAGTTTACCTAGAAGGTGATAATACAGTACCTATTTAGTTATGTTACCTGTAATAAAAATGTATTTAATATAACTATTGGTTGTCCTCAAAACGTTTCTGGGAGTACCGTAAATGAAAAGTCAGCAGAACCAGGGAGAACGGCCCACGGCGCGATTTATAAAGAACCTCTTTGCGTTACTAATTACTCCATTACACACGACTAGAACATTTTATTTGAAATTGCTTGGTTATATGCTGAAGATCATCTCATTAGCTACAATTTTGTCGTTTGAAGTTTGCTTCTGACAAACAAATTTTAAAAAAAAATCCTCGCTTAGTAACTTTTCCATGTCAAGGTGTGATATTTGTTAAAAATTTTCAGTTGTTAAAATTTGAATTACGATTTAAATAAGATTATATTTTATACTGTCAGATTCTGCAGTTAATGCAGATTCCGAATATATAGGGCCTAACTTTAATAACAGTCAACCTATTGTATGCACGGCCAGGAGCGTATTAACAACCACGAGAACGGCTTGAGGAACTGACATATCTGTGTTGGGTCCCACATAGGGGTGCGGGAAGGTTGCCGAAATGGTGCGCTTTCCATCCCACATCTCTTATCTACCCGGTGTTCCAGTTGTGTTATATACTTCGATGGGCCTACCATATTTATATTATACAAATTTTAATAAGTTAAATACAGTAGTGTTTTTGGACTCTGGGGACGTCAAAATTAAAAAGTAAATTGATCCTGGTCTAGGTCTTACCATGCCACTTTCGGAATAAGTAGCTTTTTCAATAAGGTTATGTTAGGCCTCAATGGGGAGATTTACCAAAATGAACGAAAGAATACAAATAAATATCGCTAAAAACAGTAGGCCTAGCACACCAAGTAGGCTAGCCTAGGTACTTCCTAGGATTTAAAATGCCATCAAAGTACCTGATCTGGCATCCAGCAAGTACCGGGTGTTTAGGGATGTTGCGATACCACTGTCTTTCCGATATTTGGTATTGATACCGTATCGCAAAAAAGTATCGATACCAGCTCCGTATCGGAACTAAAGTATCGACACCATCAGTATTGTATCCATTCGATACCAGTGACATCATATTCTGATTCGTACTGATCTTTGATAAGTTCACTCGCTCCAGTACAGTACAGCCAATATGAATATAGGATTCGAGCTGCTAAGAACTACCTAATTGTGTAAAAAAGTTGATAACAATTAACCAAACATAGCCAACCTTTGTTTTCAATTTTAACTTCAAATAAAAGTTCAAGTACCTTATGTTCTAGGCCTATAATTTATCTTTTTAATAGAAAATGTTATTACCATTCTAGGCTAACAACATACACACACATTTGTGTTTACCATCAACCTAAATTGAAAAAGGGAGATTTAGTTAAAAAAAAACTATTAAAGAGTCATCTTTATTAGTTTCATATGAACACAATGTTGCTTAATGCTAACATTGGGTTGTAATGAAAATAACTCTTTGCAACCAAACCCTTAAGTTTTACTTCCAGCTAGAAAAAAATACTAAATATTTCGGTGAAAGTCTGTTTCTTTTTTGGGTCACTGTTGTTCCAGTCTTGGAAAATAACCGCTCAGAAGGCACGAGCTGGGCCGTATGACTCAGATTTTTCCTTCCTTCGGAACAACCGATACCGATACAATACCAGCAGTATCGCAATAAAATTATCGATTCGATAGTATCGCAACATCCCTACCGGTAGGCCTATTGCGAGGCCTTAGTGTAGAGAACATAGAGAGGCAATAATGAAAGAAGTGGGGTACAGTTCTCTTCTGGGCTATGCTAATATCGATTGAAACTATCGATTTGATTAGTAAACCTCCATGCGATTTTTTCACCATCAGCAAGTTTGGCTGGTTTAGGTTATGATAGTTTAATTTTATAATAGATATACTTAAAATATCGATTATTAATCAATATTTTCAATTCGGTAGTTTCAATCGATATTAGGCATAGCATAGCCCAGTTAAGAAACTTTACCCAAGTAGTGATTTGTCTCACTTTGATTACTCTTAACTTAAGTTAATGTTTAACATTGGTTTTAATAAGCTTAGGTCTATTACTAGTAGGCCATAATAATTGTAACTTATAGGCTCTAGCCCTACAGATCTAAAACACTTATTTACAAATCGTTTATGATATCTTAACTTTATAGTTATTTACCTCCTGAATCCAAATATACCATTATTTTTCACCACTGATGAATATTTCTCAAGATATCGCCGTAAAAATATACAACTTTAGAATAAACAAGGTAGGACGGATGACATTTACTTACACAAGTGGAATAATGAAATGAAATATCAAGATCAAGTAAGCCTACAGAACAGCTGGAGCTGAGGTTTTTCACCGTCGTGAAATTAAAGTTAGCGGCTCTTTTCATCGGAGCTTTTTCGGATTGTAATAGATATAGTACATAGTCCAGGCGCTAAACGGGTTGAGTATGCACTGAAAGTCTGACAAAATTTGACTTTTGATTATTGTTGGGGACATCTAGTAGATGAAAAAAATCGATGATGTCGCATTTCTAGGGTGGTCACAACACGGGGGGGAGGGGGGGAAGCTGCGCGGGTCATCGGTTTACGTTTCCGCGTCTAACTCACAAACGGTTAATGATAGAAAGGTGAATTAAGCGTCTATCTACGCCTAAATATATTGTCTTTTAAAAAGGTTATTACAACCTTTCTTCTATCTCTTATACTTTAGGCGCTAATCAACATTTATTGCAAAAAATAAAATTTAAAAATACTTTAAAATGAAATATCGGAAATATTGCGCTTGTTTAGGGCATGTTACAAACTATTTATGGTTAGAAAAACTAACAAGTAGTACAACAACACCAAGTTTAAAGAAATCCGTGCAAAAACAACAGAGCTACGTTGATTTTAGTAAGAGTAAACGTGGAAAATTCGTAGTAGTATCGACGCGCGCATGGATGGTACACGTAGCCCACAGTCAATATAGGTTTGATGTTGTAAGTAACTATGGGAAAGCTGAATTTTTCTATGCTGTTAGACCATGTTGAGATTATCATTTTCCCGAAAGTCAACACTCCTCCGCCCTTGTGCTTTCCTATAACCCCCCTTTTTAGATAAATTTACAGCCTCTTGGTAAGGATAATAATGCAATATTTTATTTATCATTTTGCGTTACGATAATCTACAAAAAGAATTATTAGATGAATAAATATTTAAAAAGAATTATTATAGATTTCTGAAGAAGAAAATGTGTTCATTGTAATAAAATATCAATACAGTGTTTTTTTATTTAAATGCAAAGAACAATGGTGAAAGACCGTCTGTTTTGTGTTAGACACACTGATTTTAAAATATTTTAAAACAGTTTAAAAAAATTCCATGAATCACATACTATATGTGTATATGTGTATGTATATGTATATGTGTACTAGTATTCATAAAATAAACTGATTTCCACTACACAACATAAACAAATAGCACTACATACTAATAGATCAGATATCAATTGAATGAATAATAAAATTTAAATGTAGTCTACTGAGAATCTGAATTTTTCCTACAAACAGTTAATAATTCATAAAACAAACCTGTTACTTTTATAATTTACTTTGATAGATACTTAACAATCAATATTTTATAAATTTTTTAAATTACATAGATTTTTCCAATTTTTGTATTGATATCTCAATTCTTAATTTTAATAATTATACTCAATTATCAATTCCCACCCTTTACTCCACGCCTCTTTAAGATAATTTCCAAGTGCCCGCCAATCTTTGTCATTTAAAAATTCAAAAAAACTCACATTCATTTAAATATAACTTGTTAGACCAAAATTGACGTATCTTTTTTTAAATTGGACATTCTGCTATAAAAGGGTACACGTTTCATCCCGGTTGAGATTACATAGTGAACATACATAAATTTTATTTTCCGTATAGAGTTAACTTTTTATTAGACGACCCCTTTTATTTGTAAAAAATGTTTTTAGGGATGGTTACGAATAAAAAATATATATCCACCATTTTCTAATATGACCAACAACTTTGTTATTTCTTATGGAATACGCTGTATTTTAGTATTCTTTTAGAATTTAAAAGCTATTTTTTTATTCGTGACAATTTTTCTCTAAACCTACCCCATTTAGGAGTTACAGCGTGTTATATCTAAAAGAAAGGCTTGTGGTGTACATTCGGCATCCTGTAGCTCATAAACGAGTAAGTTGAGAGAGAAAGTGCAAAGAATAAATAAGTCACATATATAAGTCCTCGTTCAAAAAATATATAAAATAAGTAAAAAAATACTGATTTTGTTGTTTTAAAAATGGCCACTATTTTCAAAAATGGTAGCTTACTTTGATATTGGAACAATTTATTTTATGGTTTTTTTTATGTAGATGTGATTTGAAAACTTGTTTATTCTTTGTATTTCCGCTCTTAAACTTACTCGTTTATGAGCTACAGGATGCAGGATGTACTCACAAACCATTTATTTTTCGATGTAACTCCTAAACAAGTAGCTTTAGAGAAAAATGTCAAGAATAAAAAGGTTTAAAAATTGTGCGTTTACATTCTAAAACAATCATAAAATACAGGGTATTCCATAGGACTAACAAAGTTGTCAGCCATATTGGAAAATGGCGAACATATTTTTAAAATTCGAAACCACTAAAAAAACATCTTAAAATAAAGGGTAGTGTCCCATAAGAAGTTAACTCTATATCTCATAATAAAAAAGTTATCTATTGGTTCACTTTAGGTGAGACACCCTGTATAATAAAATGAGGCTCTGGCGTACAGCAGCAAATGCACGATATTCATTCATATGTATCCACTACAGACTGTATATGTACTGAATGAGCTACATAACGTTAATATAATCTATATAAAGCGGCAAATTCAAATACAAACCCCATAATATACGTAATTTTTTCCATTGTTGCGGTGCACAAAAAAGCCAGAGTCCTGTAAAATCAATATACTGTACTATCTATAACCACTATATGCAAACAAACTGTTAATAACTATGTATCATTTTAAAATGTAAACTATGCACCCCAAATTTTGTATCAAACATTTTGTTGTGTGACCTCGTATAAAAAATCTACAAAGAAAAGTTTCATAAATTAATCCGTAAAAAATATTGTTTTATGTTTATGATATTTTTTAATTATGAATATTTAGGATAACATGGTAAATACACTTTTTGTAGAATATCGTAACGCAAAATGATTAATAAAAGATTGCGTTTTATCCTTACCCGTTTTAAAGTTATAGCTTAATTTCTAAGAGACTGTAAATTTATCTAAAAGGGGGGGGGGTAGAGGAAAGCACAAAGGGGTAGGAGTGGGGACTTTTGGGAAAATGCTCATCTCAACATGGTCTAACAGCATAGAAAAATTCAGCTTTCCCATAGTTACTTACAACATCAAACCTATATTGACTGTGGGCTACGTGTACCATCCATGCGCGCGTCGATACTACTACGAATTTTCCACGTTTACTCTTACTAAAATCAACGTAGCTCTGTTGTTTTTGCACGGATTTCTTTAAAATTGGTGTTGTTGTACTACTTGTTAGTTTTTCTAACCATAAATAGTTTGTAACATGCCCTAAACAAGCGCAATATTTCCGATATTTCATTTTAAAGTATTTTTAAATTTTATTTTTTGCAATAAATGTAGATTAGCGCCTAAAGTATAAGAGATAGAAGAGAGGTTGTCATAACCTTTTTAAAAGACAATATATTTAGGCGTAGATAGACGCTTAATTCACCTTTCTATCATTAACCGTTTGTGAGTTAGACGCGGAAACGTAAACCGATGACCCGCGCAACTTCCCCCCCTCCCCCCCGTGTTGTGACCACCCTAGAAATGCGACATCATCGATTTTTTCATCTACTAGATGTCCCCAACAATAATCGAAAGTCAAATTTTGTCAGACTTTCAGTGCATACTCAACCCGTTTAGCGCCTGGACTAACAGGCGCTAGGTGCAGTTGAGTATGCATGAAAAGAGTCAGAGATTTTGACTTTTGATTTTGGTAATGGGGACCTAGGTGAGTGTAAATAATCATGTCGTCGCCTCCAGGGATGGTCGACAACATAGGAGTGGGTCGGTGGGGGCACAAAGTTGCGAAAAACGTTAATCAGAAAACCGCTTTTAACTCCCTTGTTATTGAACGTAAGTAAATGATTCAATTTAATTGACTTTTGATTCTGGTAATGGGGACCTAGGTGAGTGTAAAAACCCATGTCGTCGCCTCCAGGGGTGGTCGACAACATAGAAAACCCTGAGCGTAAGTAAAAGATTAATTAAATTTGACTTTTGATTTTAGTAATAAGTTAGGGGCCTAGTTGAGTCTCAAACCCATGTCGTACCCTCCAGGGGTTAAAGTTTCAAGTCTCTATAACTTTTCTAATAAGAAACTTACACTGGAGTAAAGGCACTTTCACGATTCCCCATAAAGAATAACAAAGGAAACTGTTATAGCCTCGTAAGGGGACAGCTCACTTACACTACAAATCATAGACACTATGAGCCTCCAAATATGTAATTCTTAAAACACATGGCTCACTTACTCTACAGATCATTTGTGCGGGTCGCTGTCAATGCGCCACCTCGGTGTTTTGGTCAGAGGCGTCAACCCGCCACCACAAAAAAACCGAGGTGGCGGGTTGACGTGTACGTATAGGCGTGGGGTCTCATAGCTTATAATGTCATAGCTTATAATCGTGAATTTTTTCCATAGCTTATAATGTTGAAAATGTGGCATAGCTTATAATCAGTTATAAGCTATGCCACACTTTCACGAAAAATTATAAGCTACTGTATGCCACAATTTCTCTAAAACGTTATAAGGTATGAAACATTTTCAGTGTCACAACTTATAATGGTCAAATAGTGGCACAGCTTATAATTCCGAATCTGTTCTATAGCTTATAATCCTGATTTTGAGTCATACCTTATAATTCTGATTTTGGGGCATAGCTTATAATTGAGGAGAATGTTGCATTGTGGGAATGGCATCAGCTGCTCGCTTCAGTCAGGTCTACCATATATACGATATTTTATGGTAGAAGGATACGATAATTATTGTAATTGTAATTATTGACCGTCACCGTACTGACGACTGACAACGGCGATATGGTATTTTATAACCTAAACATTTATTTATTTAAATGTTATACACGATTTTTATACGAGAAATGGCAACAATTACATGCTGTATGACAATGAAAATGCAAGAAATATTTATAGTGAGAAGTTAAAAGATATGAAAATGAAGTGAAGTGAAGTTATCCTTCACTGGCATTGAAAATTAATGAATCTTGTCAATGGTCTGGCTGGTGTTGACAGAAGATAAAAGAGAGGAACAATGATTTTTAATAAATTGTAAACATCAAAAAATTCCAAAACTATATTGTGGTGTTGAAATCCAGTAAGTTTTAATCCAATCCTGTTCCTAAGCCTTGTTATTCAAAGTAACAAAATGCAGTAGGCTATTATTTGCTTGAGTGTTATTAATTAGGTTAAGTTAGTAGGTTGGTTGTAGGTACAGTTGCCTAGCCTACTTAAGCTTAAGTTAGCTGTGACTTAAGTTACAGATTTCCTGTGACAGGCATAAACAATTAACTTAATAAAAATATCAGTATATGTAGGCCTAACGGCTGCACTTAAGTTTACGTCCTACACACATTCGAATGAATATATCGAATGATTATCATTATATACGATATAGGCCTATATACGATATAAGTAGGCTATCAAGTTTGGTTATTAATGAAATAGCCTAATTGAAATATTGAATAATCTAATTGATATTTTTCATTAGAATGAGTGTAGGACGTAAACTAAAGTGCAGCCTATTCAACTAATGACTTAGGCCTACATTCATAAACAAGGTGTAGGTGTATTAACTTAAGATAGGAATTGTCTGTTTTTGAAGCAGCGTGCTTAGAAATATAGGCTAACTAACTTAGGTAAGTTACTGTTATTGATCTTTAGGCAAAATTACATGCAATCGATCTTGTCATGGATGCTTGAAATGCACAAGACAGTCATAAGTACAATAGTAAAACATGCTGACTAAAGCAAACATAAAAATAAGTGTTCATTCTACAAAATAAAATGAGAGTGGCTATTTTGGAAAAAAACTAAAAACATCATGCAAAATTGATGGAGCTGAAGTCTGCTTCAAAATATTCTTTAACCCTTTCCACTCGTATGTCGCCGCTACCGCGACATTCACATCTGACCGTTCCACTCGTATGTCGCGGCCGCCGCGACATTTTCAGCATCGGCTTTTTATTAATAAATCCTATTTATATAGTGTTTGCATGTTTTGAATTTGTGTTGAATACATACTTAATGATTTCCTTATTCTAGCTAGTTAGGGAATTTAATTTTTAAAATTTTACATTACAATATGTTTAGAGTATAAATATATGTGTATATATGCATACATGTGTATGTGTATATATCTATGTATATGTGTGCATAAAGAAGTGTTATTTTAGTTTGTTTTAGTGCTCAGTATGTTGATTTATGTGGGACAATTTTATTTCATTAATATTGAATGGACATTAATGCCAACCCAGCAGACGGTCGTGTGACCATTGTTGTATGTGCATGTATAAATTATCGCACCCATTTCATGTAGCCTACTGTACATAGTATGTATTCAATAAAGCACTTTTCTATTCTATTCTATATTCATTTTACATGTCTTTGGTAGCTTGAAAAATAATTGTAAGTTTATTTAGTCAGCTGTGGATTAAAGAATAGAGAAGTGTAGATAGTAACCATGACGACCAAAATCACCAAAAAATCTAAGTTTGAAAATGCATTTTTTCATTAAAAAAAAATACACCTAATCCTTCTTGTAATGGCTGATTTGAATTGGCAACTAGATAACTAATGTTGATAAAGTGTTTTACAAATCCTGAAAATGTGTTAACGTTTTTTAAAAAGCCTCCCAAAAAATATTTTGTACATTTTATTTTGCTTTTTTTTATATTATGACCACACAAAAAATATTTTATGGGTATATTTATTTTGATATTTTGTTTTACTTGTGTACAATTTTATGCTGAATAAGAATCAAGTCCTCAAGTACAACAAATAATTTATTTTAGTCAGTATATGTACACAAACTTAAAACATGTTTTTTTGCATGGCAATAAATGCAAGCGTATGGGACAACAAGGGGTCAACTAATCCGAGTGGAAAGGGTTAAGGCTGTAGAAGGGCCTTACTATCAACCATGCATATATCACATTCTTAAAACTACCTAAGCTAACATGCTGAGCTGAAAAAGGCAAGCAATTGAAAAGGTCAATACCTGTAGCTTCGAGGCCTAACTTAGTATGTAGCCTATATAAAAAATGGGTAGCCTAGGCCTATGGATGCTTGGATTTACTGATAGTAAGCATAGGCTATGTTCGAAATGGGTACACTTCCATATCTGTTGGCACAAACAACCGAATGAGTAATAATGATACCAAACGATATATCGAATAATCGATACCGTATATCGATCGATATTTTCATTCGGTTGTTTGTGCCAACAGATAACTTATGGAAGTGTAACCTTAGAAATGGTAAGCGTGATAATACTGAGCCAAAAGATTTAACTTGGGTAGGCCTATAGTTTCTTAACACGTTCGCGGCGGCACGTCAAATGGCGGACGTATCCCCAATGCGGCGCGGCCCTCAGCGTCGAACAAACCCGATTGCCACGTGTGATTGGCTTTCCAATTTCGGTCTGACGTATAGCAAATAACGTGCGAGGATGTCCTGTTTTACAACAAGAGTCGACGTAGTTCGCTAAACACCCACAGATAGCAGCACTGCTTGGAACGTAGCCGGTCCAATTGGAATTGTATTGCAAATGGAGAGAAAAAGACGGGACAAAAAATACATTTTTGAGATTGTCAGACGGGGATTTTACGGGAAAATTTACTACCAACCTACACCACAAAAAATACAGTATACTATTAAGCAGTGCTGTGTGAGGTTTCAAGTTTCTAGCTCTAATCCTGGCTTAAAAATAAATCATTTCGTACTGCATTGCAGCTTGGGAGCGATCGCACCCACCAGGATGGCATTAGGGTTCCGTATGGGAGCGATCGCTCCCATGCCGCCGCAAATGTGTTAACTGGGCTACGCTAACTTAAGTTATTTTTTATTGAACTATCAAATTAAAAATATTGATTAATAATTTATTTTTTAAAATACCGTATAAAAATAATAATTAATTATAAAACCCTAAAAATACATTTTTAAATTTGTCCCATAAGAATAACATTAGAAGCTACCTTCTTCTACTTTTTATTTGTTTATGTTTTGCGACCAACAAAAAGCTTAGTTTATATTTTACTCTATATATAGGTATAAATATATAGGCTATATTTATTATAAATCAAACTTGATAGCTTTATTTTATAGTACTAAGTTATTTTTTATTTTTATTTTTTTTTATTTATTTTTTTTTTGCATCTACGCCAGTGGCATTTTTCTAATGAAGTCAAACACTTTTAAGGGAAAGCGGTCCAAACCCATTAAAGTTTAGTTCTGTTTTTACTTTTAACAAGAAGTAGGCCTGAATGATGTACACTGCCTATTTTTGTTCCAGGTAAATTTTCTTGTAAAGCTTGGAGCATTGCAAATGTTTGGTGTTAATGTATGAGAGTACTTCACATGTAAACAATATTGATGAAGTTGTCTGCTTATTTGGGGCCAAATAAGGAGAGAAATTTTCTTGGAAAAGAATCAAAAGCAATAAAGGTAAGTAAGTTTGGCTAAGCTATCAATATGACTAAGAAGCATTTTCAGTCCTTGTTTAACATTAACTTATGATGTGCTGTGGCGGTTAAGTTTTTATATTTGGAAAAAAAGACACTTTAATCAACTTACAGCACTGTTCAAGTTTCAGAGTTACCTATGGTGACAGAATAATACAAGGCATGTTATTTAAGAAAGTACTGTTTTTAAATTTCTCCGTTTCAGTGCTGCGATTGGCATTCAACTAAAAAGGTTGGTTCTATGATATGCAAAGGCATTAAAAGTTGATTAAAGTTGCATTAAGTTGGTGAGTCGAAGGCTCAGTCGGTAGCGTCGCGGACTTCGGGCCCAAGGCAGTAGTGTCGTGGGTTCGGATCCTGGTCACTGCCACTAACTTTTATCAGTACAGTTCACCTTTGTACTGTACCGGCTCACCCCTTGCTTTGCTGGATACGTTCCACGCACAGATCTGTAGTCTTTGTGGACGGGCAAATGCAAGGTTAAAAGAGGCCACAAACCTCTTAAAAAAAAAGTTATAAGATTTACCAACAGGATAAAGCACTATTATTTTTTTCATTTATGAAAACAGCTAATTTGAACTAAGCAGAAACAAAAAACTGTGATACACAATGATAACTGTCTGTTTACAGTTATGTTTATGTTTTTAATTTCACGAATAATTTGTGATCTTTTGTGAATCTTTAATAGGCTAATTAATTTTTTTCTTTTGTTTGGGTGAAGTGGTAGAACATTATGGCTATGGTAGATGTGTAATACTATAGTCATAGACAATAGAGTAAATATAGACGGTCAAAGAAAGGTTTTGCGATCTGCCGCTTGAGCGTTTTTGCCGTTCGATATCAGTTATCGGTATTCAATTCAGTGTCGTCGTCGACTACTCGCCAGCTGTTACCAGCACTACCACTCTTGCAAACGAAATGATTACTATTTGCTATTGTTGTCTTCTGCAATCGCGTCAAAATCATGAACATCTTCCGCGGCTGTGTAGACATCATCATTGAATGCCGTGGTCACAAAACGTCATCGTCGTCCACGATTGCGGCAAAATTGTGAACATCTTCAGCGGCCGTATATACAATCGCCTTGCGCGATCGCAGAAAAGACGTGATCATTTTTCCCGTGGTCACGAAAACGTCGTCTAGCACAGTCGCGGTTTAAGAACATCTCCCGCGGTCGTGTAGACACATCATCGTCTTGCGCCGTCATGGAAACTTGATCGTTGTCTAGCGCGATCGAGGTAAAATCATGAAATTTACCGACTTTGATATGAAAATAAAGACTAAATCCCAACTTTTCAAGACCATTTTGAAATTCAATACTAAGTTAATACGCGACTTTCCCGTTTTCCCCGACTACTAGACATCCTGGTTAAATTTTATTTTGACCTTGCAAATATAAAACAAAACCTTCCAATAAACCACTTCCTAAAATTATGGATTAATAAAGAAAAACTTTGAATCAATGTAATGAAACTACAAAAGTATAACAAATATATGTTTAAAAAAAATACAATAAAAGATGGCATTTAAATTAATTTATTGCTTATTATTAAATAAGTCAGTAAACTCGAATTCCAGGGGATTCCTCCAAAGTTGGCAACACTACTCCCAACTACCAATTTGTTATAGAAACGGTCGCTAGCGCTTGATGCTGCAGCGGTGTGCACTGTAACTACACATTACCCTGGCGGTCGGCGCCGGAATATATGCTAACCGCAGCACAGCTGGCCACTCTACTCCTGCCCAGTATGGTCAGACCAACTAGCATATGATTTTATATGATGAAGCCGTACTTGGGCTACCGCTGTATGGTTTCATCATGACATGTATTTCAATCATTTACTGGGTTATAATTTGTATGTATTTGAATGGATACATTTAATACTTAATTGATAAAAGACTATGAAAACCGTTTAGTGCTCTATGGTGTTCTATAATGCTATGGTGGACACAAGAGCGTAATCTGATTTGGTTCTACAGTACTTTACTTTACTTTAATTTTAATAGTAGCCTGCTGTTAGCAGGTTTGTGCTGTGCTGGGCAAGTGTGTGCAATATCCATGGAAAAATTATGTTGAATCCTCTCACCTTGTGCAAGGATCCTTTAAGTCAATCTCAATTTCTCTTGCAGCAAAGTCCAGGACAAATTAACCACCAAGTTAACAAGACACCCCTTTCTCTATTTAGTTCTGATTACAATTTTGAGTTATTGTTTATTTGTTTCAGGATAGCATGACAGAAGAATGCAGAAGGGTTGCTCAGCTATTAACTTTGCCTTATAATCTTTATTTTTTTCAATTGTGTTGTAAGAAGTATTTTTTAAACAGTAAAACTTTCTCCAATTTATAGACTACCTATTATGATTCATTGTTGTGTTTTATTAAGGTCCCTACCCTTTTCTAAAAAATATTTTATAAACCAAAATGTTTAATGCTGTTCGCCTATTATTCTTTATGAAACATTAAAATACACTCCATTATTGAGCCTAATCATATTGATTTTCAACTTAAAAAAAAGTAAGTAACACAACCAAGACCAGTCCTTAAATAAAAGTACTTAATAATTATCCCAGTAAGACATAATGGATTTCCAAATTCCTCCCTAGGAGTTAATCTGCATCCGGACAACCAAATTTTTAAGATTATTATATTTAAAGAATAGGCTTGCTAATTCAAATATTATGTTCATTTATAACTTTTTTCTCATTATATATAAATAAAATTGATTAAAATATGTGAATGCGACTATTATTACTGGGGGGGAGGGGGCGCCACAACCACGTTTGCTCCGGGCGCTGCCAACCCTAGGGATAGCCCTGATATTTACCTTAGGCCCCATTTATGCTCAAGTTTGGGTTGCAACTAAGGCTTGGTGTGTCGCCCAAAACAAGCGACAAGCAAAATTTAAATTTCATTCTTTTGTACCGAATGTGATGCAATATAAACAGCAAATTAGAAACGCAAATCCAGTCAGCTGATTAGACATAGGCGACTTACCCAACGGCCCTACGACGTGGTGGGGAAAGCTTCTAGCCAAGGGTCTGTCTCAGTGACCAGTGTGTCTCCAACCTTCCTATGCGTGGGGTGAGTTGTTAAGTGGAGTCGTGCAAATCAATTCGTAGTTTGCAGTGTTAGTTGGCAAAAATTTAATTTTCAACAAACCCTAAAGCCTATATCCTGCAGGGATATAATTGCCACGTGTTTGGAATTAAATTAAGTTAGGAAAAACTCGTTTCATCCTCACCAACTTATACGTACCGCTCCCGAAATTTCACGTCTTAGTTCAACCAAAATTCAATTTGTCCGTATTTTGGAAAAAACTCATCCGTATTCTCTCAAGTGTTTTGTGTCTGACGTCCAATTGTAAGTAACTATATATTATTTATTGTATTAGTGTTATAATTACTCTTTGTGGGTCGTACAATCCGTTACATTTTATGTTATGTTTTGTCATTTCCTGTTCTTGAGCACATGTTTTCAGATTCAGATACTAATAAGTACATTTTGTATCCATTTTGATCTAATTAATTGGTATTGATACATAGTCGTAGATATTATCATTATTCTAAAAAATAAATAAATATTCAATTATTTGTGATAAAATTAACGTAATTTGATTAAAATGTTTGTATTATAATCGTCATTGCAAACACGTTGTTCCCATAACACAGTATTATTCCAAACAAAAGGTTGCAAGAGTATAATTGCCAATGGTGAAATTAATTTGAAAATTTAATACACTTGGAAGGGCTGCAGGTTCGATTCTGGCTTGGGATTGTAGTTAGTGGGAGTGTATTCCAATATAGACGTATCCGCCATAACACTCTTTAGCTATAAATAATAAATAATCTTTCATACCATTGCCTTGAGTTATGTACAGTTATACTGTGTAACAAATTGGACAACGAGATCTACACTTCAATTTTATAGTCTTTCAGGGTGGCTAGTGACCTGGAAAACCTGGAAATGTCAGGGAATATTAAATATCTGGAAAAGTCAGGGAATTTTGTCATAAGTCAGGGAAAATTGTAAAATGTTTAAAATAATTGTTAGTGAAGGTCGATCTGGTGAGAGTACGTATGCAGTGTCGGGGAAAACTATAAAAATATGTTTGTACGAAAAAATTTTGTGTTTTTGTACAAATTAAATTTTGTTATAAACTGAGTATCATCTTATCAAACTCTGTTTAATTTTATTAAAGCAAGCTGCAAAGTTTGAATATAAGCTACAAGCCTGTATCTATAGATTTTATGTATTTTTTTCATGTCAACAAACATAGATATTCTTCAGATAAAGATTAGTCCTTTTGAAGATTTAGTTAGTATTAAAATTGTAATTTTGAATTTGTCGATCAGGGAATGTTTAAAAAAATCATGGAATCGTCAGGGAAAAGTCGGGAATTTTTCAATGTGATTTCACTAGCCGTCTTTGGATTTTGTGAGTGTTGGATCGTCTCAAACATTAAAATTTCACACCTTAATGTCACTGTCGCGGCTATATTGTAACCGCGCCAATCACTTCTTCTACCGAGAGGTTCAATATATAGTAGTGATAACATTAATGGCAAATATATTAGGGTAAAAAGTCCATACATTTCATACACATCACCTTTTGTCATCGTTATATTATAATTATATTCTCCACTGAAGTTATTTTTAAATATATGGAATTGTGATTTATTTGCTGATTATTGCATTATTGATTATTGATTATTGCTAATTATTGCTGATTATACCTTTGGTATTTCAATCCTAGCATAAATAGCCTATAGTTCTTTCAAAGAGTCGTGATTATAACCAATAAGAATCCACTACAAAAGATACACCTTGGGTGCAACACTAAGTTAAGTGTGGTAGTGTGCAAGGTTAGTGTAGTCTTAAGATTGTTTTCAGCCTTGGAAGAACTAAACACTACCAAGAACGTCCCCTAAGGACTTCTGGGGGGAATTTTATTCCACATGGCCCACTAAATTTTTATTTAACATCAAGCTTCCACTGCCAACGCTCTGTTGTAATATTTTTGTTCACTTAGTTCTTCCAACCCAGGGGCAACCAATTTGTAAAGAACCAGTCAGTCGAGAGGTATTTGAGAGTATTTACCAGTAAAAATATATTTGAATATTTATATTTAAATATGTTGTTAGAAATCCGTTTTCTTCTTTACACTTTTACTTAGTACTGAATCACTTGATCAATACAAATAAAATCTTAAATGAACTTATTACTTATTCCTTATTACATTATGACTATTTTGGTAACTAAGTGCCTTCTTGTGTCAAGTTTTGCTAATGACGTAGAGTTCAGTATGGATTTTAGAATTTTAGTACTGTTTATAAATACTTGGATATATCATTTTTGATATTACAGAAATTACATCAATGGACAAAACTATTGTCAAACGTATGTTTCCGATCTTTGGGAAGAATATTTTAATTTTTCTTGCAATAAAAAATCATGCTTGGGTTACTTTTTAACAGAAATGTTGCATTAACTTTTGAAACATAATTTTTACAGGAATGGGGGTTGCACTATTTTGTGTAGAATTATAAGGACCTTTACTGACAAATTTCAATCAAAATTGTTTGGTTTTTTTTTCAAACAAACAAACAAAACCAAACTTGCTGACAATCAAAATGAAATTTTTAATATAGAAGGAAAAGTAATTTAAAACAATACAAAATAACATCAAGCTATAATAATGGAGTAATTGGAACTGTTTTAAATTTACAATTCAGAATGTGTATTGTCATCGCAGTTCATTTGACAAAAATGAAATTGAAGCAAGACAGAAATTTCCATCAATAGCTTCAAGGTCAAGCTATCCGCTTTTGCACCGACAATCGTCTGCTCCTTAACACATCGGTCTGCTATGTCACAACACTGCAACCACTGCGACAGTTTGTGGTTGGGTGATAACTACCCTAACCATGTGGTCTTTCATTTGATATATCACAAGGGGTACCTTGCTATTAAGTTCCGGGGAGGGGGGGGGGAATATCTCGCAAATTTATGAACCGATTTTCAATTTTTTATCATCAAACATTTTTTTTCATGCTCTTTCATTTGATATGTCACAAGGGGTAGCTTGGTATTTAAAAAAATTAAGTTGGTGGCAGGGGGAAAGGGGGGGAATGTGAATGTAACGTTGAATTCAAAACAATTGGGCCCCCTACGTCAATAGATGATTCTGGCAAACTGCATATTTCTATCTATTGCGGTTTTTACATAAATAAAGATGCAAGTTAAAAAAAAAACCCTGTATATCTATGAATTTATACAGCTTATATATATATAAGTTTTTAGGCATATGCCTAACTACCACCACGTGAGCACGCAACATGCAGCTGTCCGTGTGAAAAGCATGAATTTTCTAAATTTAAGCCGACCATAGTCAGAGATTGCCCTAGTCCTTTATAATAATGGTAATTGCAAAAGCAAGACACAAAGGAAATTGTAGTTGCTTAAATTCAGAGGGTAATTCGAATGAAATTATCAGTATTCTTGGGATTAAGACTATTTTTCTCCTTTAAACTTACAACTGATAATAATGACTAAAGGTATGGACGCACCAGATTTGCCATCAAGCATCGACATTCTTTTTGACGTATATTTCTGGTTATGCACAAAATGTGTACCAGTACATTTATGGGAGTTAAATTTTGTGTTTTCGAGTTCGTTTGGCTTTTCTACCCACTCGATTTTGATAATTTTGGTCTTCAAATAAAGCTATGCAAGCACATATTTGTCATCAAGCATCATCATTAATTTATCTAATGTACTACTCAACGAAAAAATATAAATTTTATTTTTTACTTCAATTAAAAATGTATTCCAGCAGTAATTACATTGCCCTATATGTTTTGGTCTTAAAACCTTAGTGAAATACGTAAATTTGAGCTATCCTTATATATAATACGTGAAGGCGATTTCTACAAAACACTACTCCTCCGTTAATAATGGACGGATTTTTACAAACGACGTGTCAAAATAAAGTATTATTTGTTTAGACGCCCCCTTTCACCAATTCCTGTAATAAAAATCCTCGGGCTTTGCCCCACAGGCCATCAAAGTTGGAGTTTCTCCCATAAGATTAACATGGGGGAATCTAAATATTTAATTGGAAACTTTGTCCCCACTAATTTGAGAGAACGGCTGGGCGTAGAAACTTGGTAGAGGTGTCCAAAGAAAGATCTTGGTCTGTAGATGAGTTATCAAAAATAAAACTATGGTAAGACTATGTCCCAGAAGCCTTTAAAGATCCCTCCACAGAGTTGTTTACATTTTGGCCATGTAAATAA